CCAGATTGAATGAATAAAATGACAATAATACCTTCAATAATAGCAATAAATGCTTCTAAAAAAGTCTGATACAATTTTATGCGAAATGAAAGTCTCCCTAAATATGAGATTATATTAATAAGCATATTGACTATCTTTTCAACAAATAAGACTGTCCATTTGAATCAAAGAAATGATATTAATTCCTTCAATAATAGCCATAAATGTCTCTTTACCATTCTGATGCAATTTCATGCGAAATGAAAGTCTCCCAAATTATAACATTATGTTACTCAGCATATTGACTGTCTTTTCCACAAATATGACCGTCCAGATTGAATGAATGAAATAACATTAATACCTTCAATAATAGCAATAAATGCTTGTTAACCATTCTGATTTCTCTATTGTTACGGTCAGATAAAATCGGCCTCCGATCTACTCAACTGTTGGCAATGGTCTGCTGGTTTTGAAACCCGGGTCATCGACGTCGATTCGGACTCGTGCTGGCGTTGGCCTCGCCTCGGGCGCACGAACAGGCCGTGGCGAGCCGGAGGGCGAAAATTCTTCTGGCCGCCAACCAGTGATTGGCCCAGTCCGGACGGAGAGGAGGTGGCCAACGAAAGGACCCCAAATCCGACCCCTGCCCGACCGGCCACTCGGATTGAAGGGCAGAGGGAGAACGGAGAGCCAATTATGAACCAGTAAGCCAGCAAACAATGCAAGTATCCGGTCTACTCATCGGAACAGTAGAGAGATAAACTTGACTGTGTATTCGAAGAAAATTTGGGTTTCGCGAAATCTTTTGACTAACAATTGCTGAGCTCACTTCTATTTTGAGGTAAAAGGTGTCTGATGAAGAGATTTGAAGGTCGATTCCACCAGAAGACGACAGATGATTCATTTTTTCAGACGTCGGTTGGCTCTACTGGAGCATTCTTGCAAACGCTGTCTCCAAAACAATATCATTTGATTGAAGTTAAATCATGCTAAGCCTGACTATTAAACTTGAATATGGCTGTAATAATGATACCTTCCTCTGAGGATGCTCGTCATATGACGGACAAAAGTCCGGCACTTTTTCCACAAAATCCAAGGAGACTATCTCGGATTAAGCATCTGCAATAATGTTCCAGCAAAACCAGTCGATAGCTGGCCAATATGAATCTGCCATCACTTTCTTCAAATCTCTTCATTAGATACACTTTGAATCGAAATGAAAAGGAGCTCAACAAGCTTGAGCGTGTTCCTGATCCAATAGGATGTGATAAGGCGGCATGATTGCTCCAGAAGTATTCAAAATCACGGACCCAATTTGGAGGAAATTTATGCACATTTGAACAACCTCGTCTGCCTCCAGGCGAAATAGAATAGTTTAGAATTCTGATGCTGCCTACTAAGACACAATCTGCTTCGTCGTGACGAATTTCATTTCGGAATGAAGTGAATGATGATGAGATTGGAAAATCATTCTCTTCAGAAGACGACGGATGATTTGCGATGTAGTGCCGCCGCTTGGTTTTCAAAAGGTGTTCAGGTTGGCGAAATCCAAGAGACATTCTCAATCGTTTCAGTGGAAAACAGGCTGATCTTTTGTCCATCGTATGAAGGATATACTCTGAGCCGTAAATCATTCTTATAAAAGCCTCATCTCATT